TGTTTCCTTTTTACATTTTTGTAACATGAATCTTAAAATATTTAAAGTTATGAATGTAGCATGAATTCTGTTTTTACTGGACAATTCTTCTATAGATGATACCATACTGGGCAGGTGTCAACTGGGTGCAATTTTAATGCTTTGCTTCAGCAATGTGAAATGACTAGTCTTTAAATTCAAGAACATTATAAATACCATATATATGAGATAAGGTGGTTCACCTAGCCAGATTATTTCTGACAGTATACCCTCAATGGCATTTTTCTTAATGGCTAGTAATATGTTCATGCATCACATATATTCAGATGATATAGTCTGTGCAATATATTTTAAGGCCATGGTTTGAGGAGGAAGCCTGTCTACCTATGATTTTACCATGATAATACAAAAATTTCATACAGTTCCTTCTTAACAGTCACTTTTCCTTTGACTCTGGTGATATAAAGAGATAACCAAAGAAGTCCTATGGGAGCAGACATTTTTCAAGCATTATAACTTTGTAAAAATATAAAAACTAAAAACACAATCAGATATTGTATACTTACTCTCCTTGTGTTTGAATCTTCTGTTGATGGTGATGTCACCAAACTCTCTTAATGATGCAAGCATTAGAAAGTCACTGTCATAATGATATATGTGATAGCAGGTTCTTCTCATTGCTAGATGGTAAGGACTTTGTCCATATGAAAATTCAAGGATTAAAAAAAAGTTCTTTTGCTTGTAGTTTCCTTCATTGCACTTCCCTTTTCTAATGACTAGTTCTTACTTACAGATAGGTATTTTGAATGCTGTGTTTGTGTGTGTATGTATATGACAGAGAAAAATACAACATTCATCTTTTTCTTCATTCTCTTTTAGTCATTGTCCAATTATCTTAGGAATAGATGACCTGTTCTTATGCTTTTCTAGAATATTTTTAAGTACTTTCTTTACTGATTATATAAATAATATATATTTTCATGTTATAAAATTTGTCAAATGCATAAAAGCACAAAGAAGAAAATGATAATCACATTTAATCACATTATTCTGAAATAGCCACTTTAATTTGGCATTATAACATGTACCTTTGTTTTGACCTTCTTTAAAAATGAATTTGTTATTTCTTACTAAAAACTGTTATATATGTATATGTAAAACAGTTATATGTTATATATATATATATATATATATATATATAATTTTTAACAAAGAGTGTTATATAATGCACACTAATTTGGAAGACAGGAGCTCTGGTAGCATAGTGCCTAAGG